GTCCTTCCTAGGTATGCCGGACGTTTCAAATCATTCTTCCTCAGTTATACGGCCGAATAATGGAACCTAAGCACAGGTCATGTCTCAAGTGGAATCTGTGGTTTCTTTGTGTTATGTCTCCTGGTAACTTGTGAAATTTGTGAGAGTTTTTTTTACGGTCTACCCTTGCATTTTTTATTTCTGTATCTCACAAACGCTTGGGAGTCCCTCGTCCTTCACTACCCAAAGGTGTCTCAGAGCGGCTTACAAACTCCTTTCCCTTCCCCTCCCCACAACAGACACCCTGTGAGCAATGCTCCCTCTAAGCTATGCAGTCTTGTGAGCAAAAATTCTTCTTTGTGAGCTACTGGCCTTAAAGTTGTGAGCGAGTTATTTGGTTACTGCATCAATTAGTTTGCTCTGGAGCCATCCTTTCTGAGCTAAGACAAAAATGTGTGAGCTGGAGGCTAAAAAACTGAGCTAGCTCACACTAACTCAGCTTAGAGGGAACACTGCCTGTGAGGTAAAAGAAGAAGAAGAAGAAGAGATTGGATTTATACCCCGCCCTTCACTACCCAAAGGTGACTCAGAGCGGCTTACAAACTCCTTTCCCTTCCCCTCCCCTGTGAGGTAAAAGAAGAAGAAGAAGAGATTGGATTTATACCCCGCCCTTCACTACCCAAAGGTGACTCAGAGCGGCTTACAAACTCCTTTCCCTTCCCCTCCGCACAACAGACACCCTGTGAGGTAAAAGAAGAAGAAGAAGAAGAGAAGAGATTGGATTTATACCCCGTCCTTCACTACCCAAAGGTGTCTCAGAGCGGCTTACAATCTCCTTTCTCTTCCCCTCCCCACAACAGACACCCTGTGAGGTAGGTGGGGCTGAGAGAGCTCTTGACAGAAACTGCTTTTTCAAGGACAGCTCTGACAGAACTACGGCTTGCCCGAGGTCATCCAGCCAGGTGCAAGTGGAAGAGTGGGGAATCCAACCTGGTTCTCCCAGATTAGCGTCCGCGCACTTAACCACTACACCAAACTGTAAGAATATACAGAATAAAGATCTAAATTTAAAAACTTTTGAAATGCGACTCCCGCAGTCTAAGAATCAAGGCACAGAACCTCAGAAACTGAATGTGTAATCTCTGCATTCTTGTCTGATAGAAGCCAGTGAAGCCTTGCTTTGTTTGTGGAACGGAGGTAGGTTAGTTAGTAGGATGCAGAACAAACCACCCTGGATCCAATTTATTTCCAGGAAAAGTTAAAGGCGGGAGCCACTGCCCTCAGGGCTGCCTCCAAAATTAGGCAACTGGAACTCAGCAGAACAAAATTAGGGGAAGTGAAAGAAGCCTGGATGAACGGCAGAGACCAGTCCTGCAAGGCAAGGCCCTCGTGATAAGGGAAGGGCCTAATGTGTAGAACTTAGCTGGAAGCAATGCTGCCTCTAAGCTGCGGAGTCTCATGAGCAAAGATTCTACTTGGTGAGCTACGGGCATTAAAGTTGTGAGCGAGCGATTTGGCTACTGCACAGATCAGTTTGCTCTGGAGCCCTCCTTCCTGAGCTAAGACAAAAATGTGTGAGCCGGAGGCTAGAAAACTGTGAGCTGGCTCGCACTAACTCAGCTCAGAGGGAACACTGGTTGGAAGCAGAACCCGGGGAGGCTTGGGGGAGCAGATCTCGACGGAGACACAACAGACACAATGTCAATCAACACAATCAACAGGAGGATACATCTCATGAGCAATGTAACAGGACTAGGAATTGCAGGAATTTGAAACAGAGCTGTCGTCTGCACAAAGCATCATTATTAAACATGACATTCGAGGTTTACAAGATTATGCATGGGAAAGAGCAGGTAGAGAAAGAGGTACTTTTCTCCCTTTCGCACAATACAAGAACTCATGGGCACTCCATGAAACTGCTGAGCGGTCGGGTTAGAACGGATAAAAGGAAGTACTTCTTCACCCAAAGAGTGATTAACACATGGAATTCACTGCCACAGGAAGTGGTGGTGGCTACAAGCATGGACGGCTTCAAAAGGGAATTAGAGAAGCATATGGAGCAGAGGTCCATCAGTGGCTATTAGCCACAAGGTATAGATAGGGGCTGTGGGGCAAGTGATGCTCTGTCTTCTTGGTGCTTGGGGGGGCCAACAGTGGGAGGGCTTCTAATGTCCTGGCCCCACTGGTGGACCTCCTGATGGCACCTGGTTTTTCTGGCCACTGTGTGATACAGAGTGTTGGACTGGATGGGCCTTCTTCTTCACCCAAAGAGTGATTAACACATGGAATTCACTGCCACAGGAAGTGGTGGCGGCTACAAGCATGGACGGCTTCAAAAGGGAATTAGATAAGCATATGGAGGAGAGGTCCATCGGTGGCTATTAGCCACAAGGTATAGATAGGGGCTCTGGGGCAAGTGATGCTCTGTCTTCTTGGTGCTTGGGGGGGCCAACAGTGGGAGGGCTTCTAATGTCCTGGCCCCACTGGTGGACCTCCTGATGGCACCCGGTATTTCTGGCCACTGTGTGACACAGAGTGTTGGACGGGATGGGCCTTTGGCCTGATCCAACATTGGCGTCTCTTATGTTCTTAACAATGCAGAACATGGTATCACATCTGTAAGAACCCAGGGCATCTCCCTGGACCAATACCCCTTGGGCTCCCTCCCTCAGGAAGGACAAGGTCCTGGTATTGTAATTCTCAGTTATCCCAGAAACAAGTAACTCCAGGACATAATTACAAGAGTTCCCCCCCCCCAAGGCCCTAGGGTTCTGTTGCTAATAGAACCTAGTCCTACCTCAGTGATGCTGCAGGAATGGAGCAGAAATCTAGTTACCCCTGGAGGAGACTATATGCTAGGATAAAAAAGAGAGAAACACCCAGCCCTATAAACTTTATCACCGTATCTCCAAAAGGACATTGCAGAGCTGGCAAAGGTACAGAGAAGGGCGACCCAGATGATTAGGAAGTTGGAGCCCCTTCCCTATGAGGAAAGGCTGGAGGGTCCGGGACTTCTCAGTTTAGAAAAAAAAAAAGATGACTAAAGAGGGGAGAAGATAAAGATTTATAAAATTATGCACGGGGTGGAGAGAGTTGACAAAGGGAAACGTTCCCGCCTCTCCCAAAATACTAGAACTCGGGGGCATCCAATGAAGCTGGCGGGCAGTAGGTTCAGGGCGGACAAAAGGAAAGAACTTCTTTACACCGTGAGTGATTAAAATGCTGGATTTTCTGCCAGAAAATGCAGCAATAGCCACAGCTTTTTAAGGGAACTGGACAGATTCATGAAAGATAATTCTACGATCCGTGGCTACTAGTCAGTGACTAAAGGAAACATCCATGTTCAGAGGCAGTAAACCTCTGAATCCCAGGGTCAGGAGGCAGCATCGGGGAAAGCCTCAGCCTCTATGCCACTCTGTGCCGGAAATGGTTGAGCACTGTGTGAGAGATGGGATGCTGGACTAGATGGACCACTGGCCTGATCCAGCAGGGCTCTTGATCTTATGAGGGGAAGGCCTTGGCCTCTGTGTCATGTTATTGGCCCTTCCAGAGGAACTGGCTGAGGCCTCCGTGTGAGGCAGGATGCTGGACGAGATGGACCCTCACTGGTCTGATCCAGCAAGGCTCTTCTTATGCTCTTATCAGAGGAAGGCCTCAGCCTCTCTGCCCTGTTGCTGGCCCTCCAGAGGAACTGGTTGAGGCCACTGAGTGAGAGGGGATGCTGGACTAGATGGACCACTGGCCTGATCCAGCAGGGCTCTTCTGATGTTCTTATCAGGGGAGGGCCCCAGCCTCTGTGCCCTGTTGTTGGCCCTCCAGAGGAACTGGTTGAGGCCACTGAGTGAGAGGGGATGCTGGACTAGATGGACCACTGGCCTGATCCAGCAGGGCTCTTCTGATGTTCTTATCAGGGGAGGGCCCCAGCCTCTGTGCCCTGTTGTTGGCCCTCCAGAGGAACTGGTTGAGGCCACTGAGTGAGAGGGGATGCTGGACTAGATGGACCACTGGCCTGATCCAGCAGGGCTCTTCTGATGTTCTTATCAGGGGAGGGCCCCAGCCTCTGTGCCCTGTTGTTGGCCCTCCAGAGGAACTGGTTGAGGCCACTGAGTGAGAGGGGATGCTGGACTAGATGGACCACTGGCCTGATCCAGCAGGGCTCTTCTGATGTTCTTATCAGGGGAGGGCCCCAGCCTCTGTGCCCTGTTGTTGGCCCTCCAGAGGAACTGGTTGAGGCCACTGAGTGAGAGGGGATGCTGGACTAGATGGACCACTGGCCTGATCCAGCAGGGCTCTTCTGATGTTCTTATCAGGGGAGGGCCCCAGCCTCTGTGCCCTGTTGTTGGCCCTCCAGAGGAACTGGTTGAGGCCACTGAGTGAGAGGGGATGCTGGACTAGGTGGGCCCTCACTGGTCTGATCCAGCAAGGCTCTTCTTATGCTCTTATCAGAGGAAGGCCTCAGCCTCTATGCCTGTTGTCGGCCCTCAAAGACCAACTGGTTGAGGCCACTGAGTGAGAGGGGATGCTGGACTAGGTGGGCCCTCACTGGTCTGATCCAGCAGGGCTCTTCTCCCTAACTCATTACCCATGGTCCTCCTAGATGCAGCTACCGTACTCCTGGAAGGGTGGATCTATTGGAGAGAAACGCCAAGGCACTCATGCATTCATCTGCCCCAGAGGCCGGACAAGCACGCACCCAGAGACCCGCAACCTCGGGCAGGAACCAAAGAGGCGTTCAAACTACCCCGCTTCTCTATCTATCCCGCAAGGATCAGAGCGGCGAAGGCGAGAAATATTCCCCGGGGGAGGAGCTTGAAGTGAGTCGACATTCAGTCCCCCACCCCCACTCCGTGCCAGGCCTATGTTTACCCCGCATCACCCGAGGTTAAACACCCCAACAAACACCAGCTACCCCAGCTTGTGCTCCATACCGAGGTAAGACCCCCCCCCCATTACCCCCGGGCCACAGTGACCCAAGGGGGGAGGAGGCTGAGGAAGGACCCCCGCCCCGCCCGCCGACGCACCTGGAAGGGGTTCCCCGGGTCCCCCTCGAAGGGGTTCCCCCCGCCGTTCAGGGCCATGCCTGCCCTCCCTCCGCCGCGGGTCCTACTGCGTCCGCTCCCTCTGCCAGCCTGCGAGGTTCTACGCGCCCATTGGCTCCCGGGAGAGCGACGTCACCGGAGAACAGGGAGCGGATTCCCGGCAGGGAGCGCCGTGACGCCTATGCGTGAGTGTCGCGCACTTGTGACGTTAGGGAGAGCGTCCTGCGGTGGAGGCTGATGGGAGTTGTAGTTCTTGCGGTTTGCGCATGATGCGTTATAGCGGCTGTAGTGGTGTGTTCGTACAGAGCCGCCTCCACCCACTTTAGTGGTAGACTGCCCCTGTAGCTGGAGGTGCCATCGAGCTAAGGGAAGGTGAGCTACAGTCAGAGGCTGCCACCTCGGGGTTGCCAACCTCCAGGTGGCGGCTGGAGATCTCCTGCTATTGCAACTGATCTCCAGGCGACAGAGATCAGTTCCCCTAGAGCAAATGGCTACTTTGGAAGGTACCCTCTATGGCATTATACCTCACTGGGGTCCCTCCCCAAACCCCGCCCTCCTCAGGCTCCACCCCCCCAAATCTCCAGGTATTTCCCTAGCTGGACTTGGCAACCCAAGTCATGATGGGAAATTCTTAAAAATGTGGAGGTGGTACAATGCCATAGAATCCACCGGGAAGCTGGAAATCTTACATCACAGGTAGATCCCTTCACCCAACAATAATAAAGAGACAAGGAAGAAACAGAGAGTACATTTTATTCAAATTAGAGACCCAATACAGCCTCCTCTTCCCATCCCCCAGATAATACACACACCATAGTGGCTTACAAGACAGTTTTTTAGCCTACGGCTCACACATTTTTTTTGTCTCAGCTCAGGAAGGAGGGCTCCAGAGCAAACTAATTGATGCAGCAGCCAAAAGGCTCGCTCACAACTTTAACGCCGGTAGCTCGCAAAGTAGAATTTTTGCTCACTCCACAGCTTAGAGGGAGCATTGGTCACCACCTCCGTGTTTGGAAATCCATGGAGATTTGAGGGGCAGGGAGGGAAAAGTTGGAGGGAGGGAGGCAGGCATGTGATGTCATGGCACCCACGTGCTGAATCTGCCGCTTTCTCCAGGGAAACTGATCTCTAATCTGGAGATAGGGAATCTCCAGGAACCAGCTGGAGGTTGGCAACCCCAGGTCCAGCTCACTGGGTTATTTACAATGGCCTTGGGTGCAGGGCTTAAAGGAGGCTATACTTAACAATGATAATGCCTTGAGGTTGCAGGAATATCAAAAGATGCAGAGGGTAAAGCTGCTTCCGTGGGAGGGGGCCTGTTGTCGGTCTGCCCAAAGGATAACCTCTGGAAGGTGGGTCTCAGAGGCTTAAAGACCCCCCATCTAATTTTCCCCTAGACCTATAAGTAGGGTTGCCAACTCTGGGTTGGGAAATTCCTGGAGATTTCGGGAGTAAAGGCTGAGGAGGGTGGGTTTTGGAGAGGGGAGGGACTCTGGCCGGTAGCTAACATGGGGCCTGGCCCCCTAGTCTTTCTTCTGGGGCCCCTCACCCAGGCTGCCCCCAAAGTGCTCCAACTTACAACTTGCACTGTAGTTTAATTTAATTAGCTGGTGCCCCCCCGAGGCCCCCTCCCAAACAATTCCCTAGCTACGGGGCTGGCTCAATGGGGTACAAGGCCATAGAGTCCACCTTCCAAAGTGGCCATTTTCTCCAGACGAACCGATCTCTGCAACCCGGGAATCTGTTGCAACTGGTGTTCCCGCTAAGCTGAGTGAGTGCGAGCTGGCTCACCGTTTTCCAGCCTCTGGCTCACACGTTTTTGTCTCCACTCAGGAAGGAAGGCTCCAGAGCAAACGAATTGATGCCGCAGCCAAACGGCTCACCCTCAGCTTTAATGCCAGGAGCTCACCAAGTAGAATTTTTGCTCACAAGACATCCACAGCTTAGAGGGACCACTGGGATCCCGGGAGATCTCCAGGCACGACCTGGAGGTGGGCAACCCTACCTAGAAGGCAGCAGGACCGAGATGCCCTGCAGGAGTTCAGCAAGCCCATCCCTCCCCAAACCCAGGGGTATCTCTGAGGCATCAGCAATCCCAGCGAAGACGTCTGGCATCCACGTGGCACATGATTCGTCGGGCAGCCCCGGAAGGTTCCGGATCTGCTCACATGACAGGGCACTGCACCGGATGCTGCAGAGACCTCATGGCGTTCCGTGCGGTCATCTGGAAGGAGCCGAAATCCAGGTCGCTGAAGCTGGGGAAGAGAGAGCCAGCGTCCGAGGTGGCCTTGGACTTCACGATCGCCAGCAGGTCTTGGGGGAACGTCAGCTTGCCCCCAGCCGCTTCCATCTGCTTCTTATCTGTCCGGCTCTTGGGAGAGAAATAAGGGAAAACGAAATGAGTTCAGGTGCATTTTTTTATCCCTGCCCTTCTACCAAAAAGCTCAGGGAAGCATACTTTCTGTTTATCCTCACGCAACCACCCTGCAAGGTAGGTTAGGCCAAAAGAGAGAGACGGGCCCAAGGCTGATCAGTGAACGTCACTGGCCGATAGTATTGCTTGGGATACCAGCAGGGGTCATTTCCTGCAGGAGCGCACAGGAGCAGAGCTCCGGCAGTAAAGAACCCAGGGGGGCGGGCACATGCAACAAGCCCCACCCCCTGCTCCCAGCAGCCCTCAGTCAGAGCAAGAAGCAGCCAGGTAAGCTGCAGAGCCCACCCACCCCCGGTCCCCTGGTCCAAAACAGTCCAGTGGCACCTTTAAGACCAAGTTTTATTCAGGTACAAGCTCTCCCTCCTCTGCGAGGTCAGATCTGCACATTCCCTCCCCC